GTGACTAGTATAATGTTATTTGTTTAATTATTATACGATATAACGAATAAAATATCTAATTATTCTGAATATAATGTTTTACTATATTGCCCAGAAAATTGTTTTTTGCCCCCCCAAAATATAAATTGTTACTAATTGCCCCCTCAACATGGAAAAACACCTACATGGGGGCGATATCGCCCCATTTGAGAAACACTGTAATAGACATTTGTTTCATAATCTGTCTAATTTTATCTAATTATTCTTAATATAATATTTTACTATATCACCCAGAAAATTGTTTTTCATCCCCCAAAATGTAAATTGTTAATAATTGCCCCCCAATATGGAAAAACACCTACATGGGGGTGATATCGCCCCATTGAGAAACACTGATCTAGAACCTTATCCACTCAGTTATTGCCTTTCCTGGGACAGGTAGAACTTTTAGACTTGTAGGCTAAACACTCAATTTTTAAAAGCCATTTTTTGGAAATGCTTGAGAAGTGAGTTCTATTATTTGGACAAGGAACTATTTGTGTTTTTTGCTACATGCTCACCAAGTTTTATTTAAATCAGAGACAAACACTTGTCAATCTCCTTGTAAGAGTTTTATCTCTACTCTTTCCATTGTCTTTATTTTTTTCTTTCTGTTCTTACAATGTTTCAAACAGATGTAACACTTGTTTTTATAGCATTAGGTTACAAATTGTTTCAGTTTTCAAAGAATATCTGTGCGATATCTTACTAAATAGCTAATTAGCTGACTAAATATTTGCTCAACAGATGCATTGGAAGCTGGTAATATCATCAATAAACCAACAATTTTTCAAGATTTTGAAACAAACTCTCCAGCAGCATTTTCTAAATTAAATATTTCTGACAGTATCACTTTCTGACCCCAAGTCAAATAGGGCTTGTTTATGCCATTCATTGTCTACAGCTTGTAAATCAACCTTAACATTTTTAAACAATGGCTCCAAAGACCTCACTGTTAAATTTTGTGCATTTTCTGGTTCAATCAAAAGCAGATATGAAAAAATGTCATTACTGAAATCAAATCTGGCATAGATTTCTTTTACAAGCGTACTGTACAAAAAAGGATAAGATCACAGGGCAGTTTTACCTTAGATTTACCCGAAAGAGTACCCTGAGAGGTTTAAATTACCCTAGAAACAGCAGCATTGGTCAAAATATAGTCTGAGAGATTTTAAATTAAATGCTTATTATTAGCAAAGCTCATTTAAACTGATGTGCCCATTGAGCAGTGTAGCTTATTGTCACATAATTCATCTTGTGGTTTATTTCTAATGATTGCTTATTGTTGTTTTGGAGTTTGGAGGTATCAATAATATGTATCTACATTCAGTCAAATAAAAAAAAATTTGTAAAAGAAAACAAAAGTATTAAAATTAAAGAAATTTTTGATACAAAAATTATGAATAAGCAATCTACAGTTTATTAACTGTAGATTGCTTATTCATAATTTTTAGATTAAAATAAGCAATCTACAGTTTATTAACTGTAGATTGCTTATTTTAAAATATATAAGTATGTATTATTTCTATAGATTAAATATTTTTTACAATATGTTTTGTAAATTGTTATTCTTTTAAATGTTTAATGAAATATGGATTTGTTATATTTTGAGTTTATTTACTGTCTAATGTTATTAATAAAAACTATTTTCTTTTCAGATTACAATAATATGAGCAAGTTTTTAAATCGTATACTTGGTATGGAGGTTCATTTGCAAAACAGACTTTTCAAATATTTTACGGACACATTAGAAGCTGTTATTCAGCATGCCAAAAAAACAGGACGATGGGATATGGGCATTTTAGGTACATAATAAAATATTATTTAACCAAGTCAAGTTTCAATATTTAAAATTAAACTTGAATTCAATTTCAGATCTTGGACTGGGAGGAAATCAAGTTAAACGTATTAAATGCAATGTATTTGTCAGGAAACATGCAACTGGAACAGCTAATATTGAATTACATACAGTTAGCATCTATTATTTTATTACTTTTAATTAAAAATTTTTAAATAAATTTAATTTTTGATTTTGATGCTTAAATAAGAATTCTAATTGTAATTTTCTCCTATTCTTCTATTCTTTTTAGGTAAGTGTTGAAAGAGGAATGTGTTGGGATGCTGTAATGGATATATGGAAGGAATTAACTGATAGTAATGAAGGCTTTTATTTATCAATTCAGGTAAAAATTATAAAGATTTTAATAATGTATTTGTTAGTATCATTATTGTTAATGTAAAGCATTCAATAAAATATTGAGGAACCAGAATTTCTACAAATTAAATTCAATATATCTAAATGAATCAATCAAGAAATAAAATTCAATGAACTAGCAGTTATAACAATTTATAGTGAGATATTGAAGGTACCACTAGATCATATTTCTCTTTCTTTGGTTATATTGGCAGAATTCTGTAGTTTATAGAATGTTTTGATTAGTGATGTGCCCGATATCCGTATCCGCGGATATCCAGGGGGGGAAAAAAGATTACTTATCCATTACTTTTTAGCAGATCTTTAACGGATCTTTTATCTTAATGAATTTCATTACTTATATGAAATTTTAAAGATAGGTAGCAATAAAATACTAATAACTTCAATTCAAATCACTTTTTATTTCTTAAAATCACATATTTGGCATATTCACATTGCAAAAATTTTATCATGCAAAATTCATTTACTATCGTAAAATATTTCCATATTACACTACTAAACTTTTTTGTCTACATTGTTTTTATTTTAATTTAACTCAACACTTTCCAAAAATGCAAACGTAATCTATGCTATTCCGTGTCACACTAAACTGTAAACAAAAACACGCACAGTGCAAGTCAAAATATGTCATGTTACTAATGCAAAGTGTCAACTATCTGTCCAAGGTCACACGCACCGGCACTGACTGAGTACAAAAGTTGAGATCTGTATCCGTATCTGCAGATCTAGACACTAATGATCTGTATCCGTGGATATACATTTTTAATGATCCAGCACATCACTAGTTTTGATATATAAAGATCACCAATATTTAGGTAGGTAAATATTGTTTTCATTTTGCTTATCATTTTGTTATTTTTTTTGTGTGGTACATATATGTACCAGTCAGATGTTTTACTTGTACATATGTTGGTTGTACTTATACTTAGTTCTGTAGATGAACATATTTTTATTTGAGCAGCAGAATGAAAATAAGTTCAAGTCTAAAGGAACTTTGTTGCTTTGTTGAACATTTGTCTGATTTGTCTTTAATATCTTATGATTTTGAATCAAGTGATTATATGGAAAGTGAAAGTGAGAATGGATTTTTGTGAGATCTAGAGAAACCCTCAACATGTAAAAACAGTCAACAAAAGATTGAGAATATTGAAACAAATATATCCAGCGGATCTGAACAACAAAAATTTATTTCTAATCAGACTTCTGTCAATCATCATTTTCATTGGATGGTTCCAAATTTTAGCCTGCTGAAGCCATCTCTCCTGAAAGAATCTGTGAACTGCTCATATATATCACAAAGCACTCGAATCTAATAGAAATATTCCGTAAAGTTTTCCTCATTCTTTATATCTACAAAATAGTTAACTGCATCACTAACCAATGCCTAGCAGATGATTTGGCAAAAATTACTAAGAAAAATAGAAGAGGTTAGCAAAAAGTCAATTAACTGTCCTCTAGCCATTGCATTTTATCAACAGAAAATTGGTAGAGTTGATCAAGCTGATCAGTTTACAGATCTGTACAATCATGACAAAGTCCACTAAGTGGTGGAAAAGGTATTTTTTTATACTTGCCTCAGAACATATGCAACAAATGCATATGTTCTGAGTATGTACATTACATGACTTGAGACAGTTAAGGAACTTTCTCATTATTTTAACCCCTTTGGTAAATCTTGCTGGAGGAAAGAGAACACCAATTTATCATTATGAAGAAGAGGTCTTCCTTTGAAAAAAAGAAAACTCTTTAAGGCAGAATTACATCTTTCCATGGAAGGTCCAACACAGTGTGTTTGTTGTGCAAAGATTGTTGCATATAATATCACACAAAATAGTATATTATTCACAAAATTTATCATTTACAATAAAGAACTTCTGTAGTTGGTGTTGTCATTTCTTACCTGATGGTACATGTGAGTACCAAATAAAAAACTGATTGGTACACATATGTACCATGCTCCTCCACTCACCCTCATTAATTAATTTTATTTCTTTCACAAAAAAAATCTTCAATTTGACTTAATACAGCTGATCACTTACTCATTTTTGATTTTCAGAAAAAAATTAATATTCAGTGGCAAGTGTTAATGGAATGTGAACTCTAGCATCTTATTTATTTTATAACTCCAATTAGACAATAGTCATTTACTGCACAATTTAGATTAAATAGGTTTTCAATAAACCTAAATGGTAAAATAATTAATGTGTTGTGTGATTCCAAATGTTCTTTTTGTAGAATGACAGTGATTGTTATGAGAAAACGCTTTCTTGATTCTTGTAATATTCTTTTAGATATCTGAGTTGCTACACTACCATCTGATTTTTGTTATCAAATTTTATTCAGTGACAGTTTTGCCAAGTTAACATTATATAAATTCTTTGTTCATGTATCAAACATAAACTAACAGTGTTATTTAATTCCCTTTGTAATAACACCCATTATATCAAATAATAAAGATTGATTGATTGCTTTCATGAGCCTCTTATGCCTCTCCAATTTGCCAATATCATGCAATGCTGCATCATACATAGTTGCTTTCAGGTGAGTCCACAGGAAAAAATTTAGAGGGATCAAGTCTGGAGAATGAGGTGTCCATAGTGTCCTATCCAACAGTTGCCAGACCATTCATTGTGTTTGTTCAGATATCAGTCAATACTCGGGGTACTATTAATAAATATGGGACTAAGAAGCTGCTCATCCCAAATTCCACATCAGACATTTGAAGTAAAATACTCCTGGCATCACATATGTTGGGTGTATCATGAACCATGCACTGCCTCATTACTGTGTTGTTGGTGCAATTTTTGTGCGAGAATTTTGTTTAGTGTGTTATATCTAATTTACTTTTGACAGGATGTTGTAACCACTATCTTTGTGGTCTTTAGTAGTTATATTCTTTGTAGAAAATCCAGATGTATTTTACTTTTTATTAAAAAGTTATATTCTTGTCAATTTATGAAAATTCTCAAGCTGATATAATTATGTGAAATTTTTATAACTTTTTTTAAACAAATGAACCTAGAATCTAATAAAGTAGATTCAGAAAATGAAATTGATATTTCTGTGAGAAATTAAGTTTATATATGTTAAATTGAGTTTTAAAAATTCGTTATTGGCATTTTCCTCATGATAAAATTAAAGTAAAATGTTTTGAAGTTTAGTATACTTATTTATATATACATTAAATATTATATGTATGTAAAAATAATAATGTTTTCTGTATGATTTATTTTGTGCATTAATTCCGTTTTACTCACTTAATTTGTTATTTGTAATGAATGTAATCAAAGAAAAAAGCATTTAATAAAAATTAAATATAAATCTGCTTGTTGATAAAGAACTGAGAATTGAAACAAAAATGCTTCTTTTTGCTTATTAAATATTTTAATATGTATAATTTTTCTAGACTCGTAATAACAAGAAGACGGCAGTTTTAGCAGTTGAAGATTCTGCCAGACGAGTCAAAGACAAACGTGAGAGAGACAAGTTATATAGAATATACAGGCCTAACACTGGTTTACAAGCAAAACAAGAAACACTCGCAGACTTAAAATCAAAGTATCGAAAAGTAAGTGTTTTAATCACCAAATACTTTAGATTTTAGTATCATACCTTGATAAATTATTTATTTAAAAAATTAAAATTATAAAACATGATCTTTTAAGTTATTAATAATTTTTGGTCATAATAAATGTTCAGCAAAACCTGCTTTCTAATTCCAATTGCCAGTTATACTTTTAATATAACATTGCATATAGCATAAGAATATGTGTATTATTAAGTTTAAAGAGCTGCAAATAACTTGAACAAATTTGTATTTTAGGCAACTCCAGACACAGCTCAAAAATACTGGAATGACCAATATGATGCTTCATCAACAGTTTGTAGTCATGTATTTTGGTATGTAATAATTTAAATTGTGATTATATTACTTTATGGCTTATATAATTTATTGTAAAGTATAAAGGATTATTCTTAATTAAAATTTATTAACTATACAGTCAAAAGATATTTATGTTGCACAGAACTTTTCTAGTAAGCATATATTTTTAATGATATTATGGTACAGTAGAGCCTCAAAAACTCGGCCTAATGTGGACTGAAGGGTGGCCGAGTTTGTGAAAATGCCGGGTTATCGGGAATGGAGTTAAAAAAGGATAAGTATGCGTATGTATTGTTTGCTTGAGAATACAACAGAGAATTAACTGCCCAAATACCCTTAAACAAAGGAAAAGTATGTCCTTTATGAAGGCATAGAGCAACGGTTCCCAATCTTTTTCGGGTGGCGACCCCTTTTTGTAAAAGCCAAGTGACCCACAACCCGATACAATTGAAAAAAGCATTTTTAATAAGGTAATCAAAAAAACAACAAAATTAGTTTTTCAGTATAATT